TTGACATGCTTTATAAACTTCGTTTATTTATTACTGATATTGAAAATCAAATCGAATTTTTACATTCGAAATTAATCATCGGTTTACCACTAGCCATCAGAGTTTATCGTGGTCAAGATTTGCATATAAATGAGTTACAAATATTAAGCAAAAGTATTGGTAAACATATTTCGTTCAATAGTTTTTTATCGCCAACATTGGATAGAGAGTTGCTATCGTATTTGCTGATAAAGGTCGTACAATAAATGAGGCTGTATTATTTGAGATGACTATTGATAGAACTGCCGGAAAACGAACGAAATCATTTGCTCTGGTTGAAAACAGTGAAGAAAAGGAAATTTAATTTTTGTTAGGCGCAGTATATTTCAGATTAAACCGGTTGTACAAGAAATCGGCTTATGGATTGTTGAATTTATTGTTAACCGATTCTGATGACAAAAAATTGCATGAACTTTATAGTTATGTATATGAAGAGTTAGTCCTCCTGTTGGATATCAAAAATGGAATCACAACAGTACATTCGTTAATGTCATGGCTAATACATCGTGTATTAAATGATAAATTAATAATTGATGAATTAGATCCTGTCCTTAAAAAGTATGGAATAACATATGAGTGTGTAATTTTACGGTACTTGGGAAATTTTTTACTTGAAATGAGTGAGCATGTCAAAGCCAAACGGTTTTTCAACATGGCATTACAATTGTGCCTAAATATGCAAAATGCCAGCTCTATAGATTTATTATTAACAATTTGCATTGATATAGCTGTCACTCGTAAACGACGATGTGACTATAAAAAGTATTTGAAATATATGAGAAGATGCTTGACATTGCTGGATTGTGTGATTGTGAGAATACAACTGTGATGAATTTATTTACAAGAATTTATCATAATAATGGTGAGCCACATACACATCAAAAATGAAAATCGTAGAACCCAAGCACTAAGATGTTTTCAAAAATCAATTGAATATTTAGAGAAATCGTACGCGAAATCACCAACCAAAATAACAATGGAAAATATCGCGTATCACGGTCTTGGTTTTGAATATTTAAGACATGCTAGTTTGTTTATTTTGTATATGAAATGATTCAAAAGGCACTTTCAATATTTGAAGAAATTTATACGTTTGCCTATCCTCATTTTCTGTTTCTTTATGAAACATTTGCAGTACTATATTTAAGATTTTTCAATATTCTTGGAATGGCGTTGAACTATCATAATAAAGCTTTGATCATTCAACAAAAATTGTATCTACCATTCCATCCTACACTTGCCAAAATTTATCATAATATTGGATTTGTTTAAATGCAAAGAGGTCCTTGTGAACAAGCAATAGAATATTTGAATAAATCTCTTCAAGTTTATTTGAAATCTGTACCACCAAATTATCCACCTTTGGCAACATTGTGCAAATATTTGGGGCTTGCTTACTCTAATCGTTTTGACGATCAAAGTGAACAGACATTTATGAATTTCGACAAAGCCCTCGAAGTCACCTTAAAAAATCCGCCATTGAAAAATCAACCAATGCATGGTATCATCTGTCGAATTCGTATCCTGTGTTGTGATTTTAAAGGACGATAACAGAGATAAACTAGTAAAGTATTTCAATGAAACAACTGACAGTGATACATTAAATTACTCACATTTTCATACTTATTTTATTCTTGGAATTTTTATTCACAAATGTTGGACTATGCAGAAGCGTTAAAAAACTATGGAAAAGCAGTTAAAATCTTGGAGTCTTTTGTTTTTGATTATTAATCAAGACGCTCTATTACTTACCAGACTTTTAGACAAAAATTGAAGATGCGAAAAGCTTACACAACTATAAAATGACACTCTTAGCGGGTGATGTTGACTATTGACAATTTTTACGAAGAAAAAATATAATCACTAAACTTGTAAATGGAAGGAAACTGTTTTCCTTTCTGAATACTACACAATTCGTTTTTCATTCAACATATTGATAAATAAAATGTAATAATCTTAAAGATTTGTGTAATACCTTCTTGAGCATGAATCTAAACAAATATCATTTGTTATCCGCCACGACACGTTTGGAATTGTTGAGGATGTCTGTTAGAGTGTGGCGCATGACTTGAGGATGAGAGTGAATGTTAAACTTGATAAAGATTCCTCTGAATCAGTCGTCACCGTGCGTTTTGGCCTTGCTAAAAGGCTTCATTCAGGTGATTTCTTTGAAAATAAGGGATGTTGAATGCCCGTCATGCTCGATTCAACTATTAAGAGAACTCCATAGTATGATCGAAAAATAAAATTTGTTTCAGGTGGGGTTTTTGGATTCTTCTATCAATGTTACCTATAAACAGAAATGTTTAGCCTTTGGAGACTTGCCCTTCTAGAGAAATAATTTTTTTAAAAAAACGTGGCAGCATTTTTCCGAAAAACCATATAGTTTCTTCTCTTGTTTAGAGTAAGTCTAAACTGTATTTAAACATATCAAATCGCATATCATTCGAAAGAGGAGAAAAAGCTGAATGAAACCTGATAGTTTTTGAAAGTTAGAAATTCACTTTCAACCAAAACAAGATTCTTTTAAGTTTAAAAAACTGAAATTCTTTTGTAAAACGACCTTTTCAAACTCTAAATCGTTCAAGCGCAGAAATTTGATCAGTTCAGTTTATAGAGTTAGCAATTCTCTATGAAATGTCTTATAGAACATTACAATACAACTAGGGGAGAATGTCGAAAAATTGATCAACAATGAGTACCACTAGAATCAGTATTTTGATGAAAATTAGGAAAACATGTTTT